AAAGCTAAATTTTTTTGCTTGCGGGCTACCAGCTGTGGTCTAGGTCCAACTATTTGTGCTATTTGGGAATTAGATGTCAATATACTGTATGGCAATTTCTATCTAAAATCTATTTTTTTTTAATTTTTTTTAATTGTGATCCCTACTGAGTAATTAGTCACACCAGTCCAGAAAGGAGCCTCTCACTCTCACTCTATTATTGCAGTTAAAAAAAAGTGTTTTTATTGGTATTAAACGCCTTTTCCTGGCCTTCTTGATTACCCTATGTGAATAGCCCCTCTCCCCAATATTCCATACATCTGTACAGCTTTCTTCCCTAAAGACCTTTGCAGTATACAGTTCTAGCGAATTCAAAGGAACTGGCCCATATGGATGCCAAGGATAAAAGATCTGGGTGATGGTTATTCGCCAACAATAAGGTATTCACAGCTGTCTTTTTGCAATACATTTTTGTAATTAGATGATTCCCTTCTATGCAAATGAGTAAATCAAAAAATGGAACTGCTACTTTGTCAAAAATGAAAGTTAACTTTTATTGGCTCTTTTTGATTCAATTCAAACATAAATTTCTTCAGTTCCTGCTCTGATCTAGTCCACAGTGCCAGTATGTCATCAATGTACCTCAGCCACAAAAAAAGGCATATGAAAGTATAATTGTGTTGTAATAGTCTGAACAACAATAGTAAAAAAAACCCAATAAACAAAAAAAAAAACCCAGATGATTGGCATTCAGCATCAGATTAGAGTGACTACTAATAAATGTTCCACACTGGTTTCATAAGCTTTGCTGATGAGACATTTAATCGGTTGGTAATGTGAGTTCCACTTCATATATGGTCCCCTTTTAAAGAAATGAGTAGATCCAAAAATGGAACTGCTACTTTGTCAAAAATGAAAGTAAACCTTATATTGGCTCATTTTGATTCAATTCAAACATACATTTCTTCATTTCCTGCTCTGATCTAGTCCACAGTGCCAGTATGTCATCAATGTACCTCAGACACAAAAAAAAAAGGCATATGAAAGCATAATTGTGTTGTAATAGTCTGCACAACAATAGTAAAAAAAAACCAATAAACAAAAAAAACAGATGATTGGCATTCAGCATCAGAATACAGTGACTACAGATAAACGTTCCGCATTGGTTTTATAAGCTTTGCTCATGAGACATTTAATCGGTTGGTCATGTGAGTTCCACTTCATATATTGTCCCCTTCTAAAGAAATGAGTAGATCCGAAAATGGAACTGCTACTTTGTCAAAAATGAAAGTAAACCTTATATTGGCTCATTTTGATTCAATTCAAACATACATTTCTTCAGTTCCTGCTCTGATCTAGTCCATGGTGCCAGTATGTCATCAATGTACCTCAGACACAAAAAAATCTTTTGAACAAAAAAGGAAAAAAAAACATGATTGGCATTCAGCATCAGAATAGAGTGACTACAGATAAACGTTCCTCATTGGTTTTATAAGCTTTGCTCATGAGACATTTAATCAGTTGGTAATGGAAGTTCCACATCATATATAAATGAAAGAATAAAATACACACAGCAAATATATCATGAGTTTAAAGTGTGAAAGAGGTAAACCAAAAATGTGTTGCCCATGGTGAGTGCCTGCATTAGAAATGGTTGTTACAGTAGCATTTGTATAGTTTGCTTTTGTGCTGGCAGGGTTGGTATTTGCTGCAGTGGTAGCAGCAGGAGTAGTAGCTATTGAAGGAAATCCAGAGTAGCTGTTGATAGTCGCTGTTGACTGGCCCTCAATGATGGTGTCTGTGGCTGGGTCATAATTTACTTGAGTAAATCCCGCTACACTCACCCTGAAAATAAAAAGATTAATTAATGTGATATTATATAATATACTCCTTTAATTAAAATGTTTGTAAAGAAAAAAAGTTTATGTTAGTTTTGGAAAAAGAAAGGATGGATCATGTTTTTATTGCTAGTAGAAAAAAAACAGAGGGCGCACCGGCCTTGTGCATTACCTTTAAAAGTATGTTTATTAAATATAAAAAAGGTATTCTACTCACAAAAGTACATAAATGCAAGGCACATCATAAGGGACCGCTCTGTCCAATTCGGACTGTTTCTGAATGGTAATGAGAATGATGGACATCCAAAATGGCTGACGCGTTTCGAGGACTAGCATCTTCATCAGAGCTCTGATGCAGTGCTAATTGGACAGAGAGGTCCCTTATGATGTTGAAAGGATAAACCTCCTGCGCTAGGAATGGGGCCCTATCCTACAAGCCGCTGACACTAAACCTCCTACCAAGATGAGTGAATAACAATAAATAATATAAAGTGCAGCGCTCAACCTACAATCCCATATATAATAGTGAATATATATAAAAGTGCTAAAAAATCTGTGCAAAATATATATCTGTGCAATAAATAATAACAATACAGCATTAAACTCAAAATCCTCAATACAATTAAAAATATATAAATATATACTAAAAAGTGTAAATAAATAATAAAGTGCAACGCGTGTATTCCCACCGGAATATATAAAAGTGTTCAAAGTGATACCAATATCACTTGCATTTATGTACTTTTGTAAGTAGAATAATTTTTTAATATTTAATAAACATACTTTTAAAGGTAATGCACAAGGCCGGTGCGCCCTTTGTTTTGTTTTTCTCTAATAGTACTTTTGGACTCCGAGGGCAGCAAGGTGTGCATATTTCAAGATTTTTCGTTGTGTGGTCCCTATGACATAGAGTCCATCCCTAAGCACAGGAGTATCTGGGTTTTCCACTAGCACATTAACGTTTTTATTGTTGCCTGGGTCACTGCTGAGCAAATGCACCCTCTTGCAGAGATACTAAGTTATTAGACCTTTATTTCATTGGTCACCAACCAGCTCTGAAGATGTTTTTTTTTTTTTATGAGTACAGGATTTCAGCAGTAATATTTGGCAGCAGACTTACTCTTTTAGACTAACTTGAAAGGAGAACTGGACACAGTTTGCCAATTATTCAGTGACAGTATAATGTCCAATTTCTGTAATGCGCCCATATTTGGTATAAATATTCTAAATACTAATCCATATTAGGTCATCTGTACTGCCATATAGGAGATTGACAATTGTTCTTTGCATCAATGATGTGAGCACAGTATTGTCTGATTTATGGCTTTTATTTTAAGCATTTGTTAGCCGGTGAGCCAGAACTTGGTCTTAGTTATCCTTGCGTGAATATTGCTGGCTGTCAGGGATCGCGGCGTCTCCTCGTCCGGCGCACGCGCACTGGCGATGGCTCATGCTGGGACAAAAGCACCAGGTCCCGGCGGGCCGCAGATGACAGGACGCCACGCATGCGCAGTAGGAGCCGCGGGCGCGCCTCGGGCGGCCAATGACAGCCCCAGGGGGCGCGCGCCCTGGACGGCCAATGACAGTGCAGGGCGCAATATTTAAAGATGCCCTGCACTGTCACTAATCGCCGCAAGGTCTATCTGTGATCCTGAGTTCCTGTACCTGCATTTTGACCCTGATTGACCCTGACTACGCTGCCTTCTCTTGTGCTTTGACCCGGATTGTCCTGACTACGCTGCCTACTCCTGCATTTGACTCGGATTGCCCTGACTACTCTGCCTTCTCCACTCCTGATCCTCGGCTTGTTTGACCTATCTGCGGACTGACTTATCCTGCTGACCCTGCGTGTGACCTGACTACTCTTTGCTTGCCGATTCTGTACCTCGCTTACCCCACGGGACCGCTGCTCGTGACCCATCCTGCTAGGTCCCGCCGTCCTCCTCACATCTGGCTCTCCCTCCCGGTACCTATACATCCCCGGAGGTTGCCTCTGCCACTGGTAGGCCTGCTCGGAGGTCGTGACCTGGCCCTGGTCTGTTACAAGTCCATCCCCACCATCAGGGGCCCTGGTGAAAGCACAGACCGGGACTTAGATTCCACGCTTTGGGTAGGTCTGTCCAGTGAGCTGCCAGAGGCACCACCTGGCGGATCATAACACTGGCTCTTCAAATGGAAAACACTAATTCTGAATTTGTACTATCTGTAACACTCACATTCACCATCTAACTGTAGTAAGAAAACTAAACAACATATTTTTATTTTTTGCGTGTTTTTTTATGCATTAGCAGCATTTCAGAAGGCAAAAAGTGGACCTTCACCCCAAAAACGAATTGTATCTGGCTCAAGTCCTCTCTCTGTCACAGTTAGGGGTCAGGCTCGGAGACCAGTAATTATAGCTGTTGAGAGCCCCCCAGCAACCAGCTGGATAAGTAAACCAGTAGCTCACCATGGTTAACCACTTCCAGTCCGGACACTTTCCCCCCCCTTCCTGACCAGGGCAATTTTCAGCTTTCAGCGCTATCACAATTTGAATGACAATCGCGCGGTCATGCAACACTGTACCCAAATGAATTTTTTACCATTTTTTTGACACAGATACAGCTTTATTTTGGTGGTATTTATTCACCGCTGGGATTTTTTTTTTTTGCTATGTAAATGAAAACGTCCAAAAATTTTTGAAAAAAAGTGTTTTTTTTTTCAATTTTGCAAATAAATAATATTTCATCATAAATCTTTGCCAAAATGTATTCAATGTGTATTCAAAATGTAAAAAATCCAAATTAGTTTATAACCAAAAATTATAATTTTTAAACATTTTTTTTTTTTTTACATTTTTATTTTATTTTTTTATATTATTATTATTATTTTTTTTTTTTTACATACTGTCACCCTAGCAGTACAGTGTCACCATGGTGACACTGTACTACTTGTGGGGAGTGATGAAGATTTGTTGTTTTTTTTTTACACTGATTGCTTTTACACCCATATAGGATGTAAAAGCAATCATTTCTCTTTCTCTCTGTGTGCATTCATTGAGAAGTACTGAGTGAGCTGTGATTGGTCATAGCTTGTCACATGGTACAAGGCTGTTGTGAATAGCCTTGTACCATGTGACCTCTGTGATCATTCACAGATTTCACACGTAGTAAGCAATGAAGTCACAAGTGACATCTTGCTTACTACTGTTGCATGTGATCACTGATTGGCCAATCAGTGATCACATGATCGGGACATCGTACAGAGGTCCCGTCCGACGATCGGTGTTTCACTGTGTCCGGAGGACACAGCGGGCACCGGATCGCGGTGCTGCGCGCTCCCAGGGAGTGCGCACAAGCAGGGTGCGGGGAGACTGTTTATAAACGGCCACCCGACCCTGCACTGCCACCGTCCGGACGTTTATATGCAACGGCCGGTCGGGAAGTGATTAATGACACAGGCTCATCCAATGTATGTAGTCTAAGTACTAACCGGTATTCAGCAGAGCTCCTGATGGTGGAGATGGGTTTTGCTGTGTGTTAGTACCAGGTCACGAAATTCTGGATTGCCCCACCAGGAGGTGAGCAAACCAGGGTCCAGTAGCAGATGTAGCAGGTAGGGATTAAGCAGAAGCATAGCCAGTATACAAGTCAAAGGTCGGTAACAGGTGGTCGCAGGTTGGGATCAAGCAGAAGCGTAATCGAGGAAATAACCAAGGGCGCTAATGAGTAGCAGTGGAGATATGGACAGCAGCATGTATGCAAAGGAGCAAGATATCATCTAGAGCAGTGGTTCTCAACCTGTGGGTCGTGTCCCCTTTGGGGGTCGAAGGACCCTTTCACAGGGGTCCCCTAAGACTATCAGAAAACACATATTTCCGATGTGTAAAGAGCAGCTACTGTGTAGAAAGCAGCTGCTGTGTGGAAAGCAGCTACTCTGTTTTAAAGCAGCAGCTACTGTGTTGAAAGCAGCAGTATTGGAGGTAAAAGGACACTCATGAATTATAATTACTGGGTAAATAATTTTATGGTTGGGGGTCCACCACAACATGAGGAACTGTATTAAAGGGTCGCGCGGCATTAGGAAGGTTGAGAACCACTGATCTAGAGGGAGTACAATAATCTGGTAAACAGAAAGTGCAAAGACATGGCTTAAATCAGGAAGTTCATGGGAAGTAAAAACACCTTGAGGTTCAGTAGAAACAAGAGACAATGCAAGATCAGACAGGGAGCTGTCCAGCATCTCAGGAGGCACAGCAAGAAGAGCCACTGCCAGGCATCAAAGAGGTCACAGGTTTATATCCAGACCCTGATATTCAGTCTCCCACAATTGAATATACAGTATATATATTTTTTTTTTTATTTATTTTTTTTTTTACTTTTTAGTTCTGCAGGGAAGCACTTGCTCCTTTCTTGCCTAGGTAAGAACTGATGTGTACACAGATATGCTAACGGGCTCTTCTTGGCCTTCAGTACCTGCCAGAGACTTTCCACAGATATCTCCATGGTCAGGTTCACCTGCATGCACGGACACAGTGCATTTATGGAGATGCAGAACTTTTTGGTCAATGTATCGAAGGGCCCTGCCAGCTCCAGAAGGCCATGCAGAGCCCTTCGGCACATCTGCGTATGCACCAGACCTTCAAAGATGGGGGTGCCAATAAGGAAGGGGGACAGTGCAAGCAGTAAGGAGACTGAAGTTCCTCTTTAAAAACTGTGTTTGCATTTATCATACACTAGTAGCTTTGGCATAGTCTGCTTTTAACCCCTTCATTCCTAAGCTAAAACCATTACATGTTAAACTTGCAGACGTGATACATCTAGTTCAGCCACAAGTCTTGACTAGCAGTGTCACATATTCCCTCAAGATCTTCCTGGACCGCCTAAGATATACAATATCTAAATGAAATAATTAATTTTAGGGCAAACCTAGGTTAGTCCATTGAATCTGGTGAGATTGTTCCTATTATCTGTTGCATTGAGTGATGGACTTATCTTACAGCCTTTGGATTGCAGATACCAGGGTGTAGGCTGGATCTGCTCAATGCCGACCATATGTCCTTATTGAAGCTCTGATAACAGTCTTGTGAACACAGGAGAAACAGAGTACACTACAGACTGAGTTTCATTATTATTATACAGTATTTATATAGCGCCAAAGGGTATGCTCAGCGCTGTACAGTAGCAGGGGGGACAGAACATGAGACAAGACAGTAACAATACAATACACAAGGGGTTCGAGGGCCCTGCTCTTTCGAGCTTACAATCTAGGAGGGAGGGGAAGGTGGCACAGGAGGAGATGGCTGTGGGGGATGGAGTAGCGCGGAGGAGTGGGGGAGGTTAGTTGTTAGGTGAGGTCAGGTGTTAGGTGAGGTTGGGGTAGGCTTCCCTGAAGAGGAGGGTTTTCAGGGTGTGGGTTCCAGAGGATGGGGGAAGTCCTGGAGAAGTCCTGCAATCAGGCGTGGGAGGAGGAGACCAGGGAGCTAGAGAGTAGGAGGTTGTGTGAGGAGCGGAGGGCACGGGTAGAGTAGTATTTGGGTATCAGGTCAGTTATGTAGTGTGGGGAGGCATTGTAAATGGCTTTGTAGGTCAGAGTTAGCAGTTTGAGAATTTGATGCGTTGGGCAATTGGGAGCCAATGAAGGGATTGGCAGGGGGGGAGGCAGATGTGGTAGTCAGCATAAGAACTTTTACATGAAAGTTACATGAGAACTTTTATGTGGCACACAGTTGCCTTGCTGTTTTTCTCCATTGGAATACTTTGTGGCAGGGGCGGACTGACAACACATGGGGCCCCCGGGCAATAGGGGATCATGGGGCCCCTGTGTCCTTGCCCAAACTCAAAAAAGCCTATGAAAAAAGGTACCAGGGGCATCCCATGGGGCCTCTTACTGACCCCGGACCCTTGGGCAGTGCCCGAGTTTCCAAATGGTCAGTCCGCCCCTGCTTTGTGGAACTGATATCACTGCTGGCTGATTGAGATCTGGTTTACAGCATATCTATAGTAGGATTTGACACTTGTTATGTATTATATTGTTTTCAGCTTCATTTAGCAGGGTAGCATAGGGAGGCTCCATCTGCACAATGAGGGAGGACAGGGAGAGGTGTGGAGGGCTGGCCCTTGTCACCCACATCTCTTTCTTAGATTTTGTGGGGGGGGGGGGGAGGGGAGGAGAGGAGGGGGGTGGTCTGCTGTGGGGGTTGGGGGTGTCCTGGGGGGTGGAGGAGGTGGTTATTGCTAGGGTGGAGCTGTGCCTTCTGGAGGGGTTTTCTTTGGGGGTGAGGGACGGTTTTGGGCGGGCAGTGTATATGGGGGGAGGGAATGTATGGGATGTGCATTGTCATTTTTTACGCCCAATAAATCTATCCTGTTCATTAGCCATTGAGGTGCTGAATCCTTTCTTTCATGTGGGTTTTTAAGTTATTACTTTTGAATGCACCTCCCCCCTGTTATATGTATGCAGGGGGTATGGCATGAGCTGGAGTACCACTCCCAGAACAGGCTGGGGGTTTCTTTACATAGTCCATTGAATCAACCCACTCCAATTTTTTTTTTTCTAAACACAATTTGCTTTTTATGTAGGGTAATATGTTTTCTTTACCTGTACTGTAATGTTGGGTCCAATGGTCCATTGATGTATCCATGTGTTTTTGAGACCCATCCCCCACATGCGCACTCATCTCACTCGATCGTGAAACTCTCTGTGATTTCTGCTCAATTATGGCGGTCACATAAGTCTTGGTTGACCCTCTCTTGAAGTCATTGTATGTCTTACCTAAAACCCCTACAGGTGACTTGGCTTAAAAATAAAGAAAAAAAAACATTAAAAATGTAATAGCATGATAAATGTTCTAAATATTGTTGAATAGGAATAAATTACTATTAACCTCCCTAGCGGTATGATTATTTCAGATTTTTGGTGCTGAAAGCGGTACCATTTTTTTGCATGGAAATATGTATTTTTTTTTATTGTAGGCCTGTAATTTAGGAATAACTCCCTGAAATCTGTCCGAACAAGAGTCTATTAAACATCCCGGGTATGATAAAACTTGAAACGCAACATCTTAAATTATAATTTAATAAATAATCATAAAAAAATAAATAATGTAATAATAAATTTAATTCAATAATATAATCAAACCAAAAACACTGAAATGTGAAATAGAGCGCCAAGTTCTCACATCACTGAGCAAAGTCGCAGAATCGTTTTCAATGTCTGATGAGGAATTTCCCCCACAAATCATTATCACTCAATTCTGCAAGTGGTTCTGATTTACTATCGCTGTTCTCTAGCCGGTCTAAAACCGCTTTTGAAATAAAGGGATGCTTTTTGGATGCCATGGACGTTTCTCAGTTTCCAGGCAGAAAGAACAGTCAAAATGCAGGCAGGGGACAGGACAAAGCACTCGGGACAAAATGTATGTGACATGTTTTGAAACAGCAATGTTTTACTATGTAATAATCATTTTTAAAAAAATGAAATTTTTTTTTAAAAAATTCAAATTTGCCGCCGTACGTCCCGACGTCACAGGGACCGGAACACGGAAGCCGGATGCCCGGCATCGGCCGGAGGAGATGGCCGGGGATGCTGCAGGGGGACACATCGTGGGAGCAAAGGACAAGGTAGTGCTGCAGGGACTCCCTGAGCAGCGCCGCATGGTAAGCCCGAGTGTAGCTCGGGGTTACCGCTCTTGGTACTCAAATTTTACACCGAGCTACACTCGGGAATACCGCCAGGGGGGGTTAACAAAGAGAAGTTACAAGGCATTCATGTGAAGTTCCACAGAACCACATCAGCTTTCCACCATCACAACAGCGCTTCAGCAAAATCAAAACTAATTAAACATCAAACCATAATGAAAAAACCTCAAAAACCAAAAGCGTCGCATGTAAGCCCGAGTGTAGCTCGGGGTTACCGCTTTTGGTACTGAAACTTTACCCCAAGCTACACTCGGGAATACCGCCAGGGGGGTTAAGGAAAGAACTGGCCTTTTCCAATCCTAAATCAAAGTGGCTGAATGCATGACCAGTAACATTATCAGTCTTCTGCAAAAGGTTAGGTTCAATTTTTTTTTTTTTAATACCAGCAATGTATTTTGGAATATTTTCATTACCTATCACTAATTTACTAAATGTGCCATTGGACACTTATGTAAAAGTGACATTTCCGATGATCCAGCTTAAGGCCTCGTGCACACAGGGGAACACTGTCCGTTTTTTTTTTTTCCCCTCTGCCTGTAAACACTCCTGCCACTAAAAGCTCCTAAACGTCCATGTGTGCATAGACACATAGGATAATATGGAGGGCTGTTTACAAGCAGTAAAAAAACCAAACACCTGACGCCTCTAAAAGTGGCTGCAAGAGCACCCTAGGTGCAATAGGCCTTAAAGCGGAGTTCCACTCACCCTGTCAAAAAAAATAAAAGTCAGCAGCTATAAAAACTGTAGCTGCTGA